ACCAGCCCCAGTTGATTAAAAGACTGTCTTTTCCTATGACCACTTTTGGTGATGCTTGTTTGTAAGAATGACTCGGTAATGTTAGAGACAAAAGCCCTAATATTGTTAGGGGTTAATCATCGATTGCACTTCGAAAAATCGTTTAAATTTTAATTTATATTTTTAAAAATTAAAAATTTTAATTTATACCCTTAAACAAGGAGGCGAGAATAAGGTTTTGGATGACCTTATTTGCTCCCTTAACTCCTTGAGTTGATGAGCTTGACCGGATTGATCATACTGAGCTAGATTTGTTGGATCTCTTGGAGTTGGGGCCCTTGGGCTTGTAACATGAGTTGAGCCCTTGGGATTGACTCTTCATTTGCCCCCAATGCCTTGTGTCCAATGGAACTTGGAAAGGAGGGCATTCGATTAAGTTCGAATTTTTGGCTGACCGACACAATTGAAAAAACTTTGGGAGGCCAAAACATATGCTTCCAAGCCCTTTTTGGACTTTTTACAATATCGTTCACAGCCTTTAGCTTTGCGTCTTGTAGGACTCGCCGAGAGCTTTGATTTGATATATAATATGCCCCTATTTGGAATTACAAAGCAAAATTTTCGGTCAAAATAGCGAGTAGGCGCCTTGGGCGAGCAGCAGCTTCTGGGCGAGCCTTGGGCGTCTTGGATGAGCCTGGGGGCTGCCTTGGGTGCCTTAGTCGAGCCCGGGGCTGTCTTGGGCGAGCAAGAGGCTTTGGGCGCCCCTTTTGGTGTTGATTTGTGGAGTTTGGGTATCGTTGGGCGCATAGCTGGGGTGAGCTCCCTTGGGCGCACAGCTGGGGTGAGCATGGTAAAGGGCTGGGTGCCCTATTGAGCACACTAGGCAGCTCTAGCAAGCTGTGTCGCTCTGATTAGCGTGCAGGGGGTTGTCTGGGCGCTAAAGGTGTTGGACTAGACCACCTGGGCATCGAAGATGTTGTAGGCACTGATCTGGGCGCCACTTTAGGGGCTGATCTAAATGCCATAGGCACTGTTTTATGCAACTTTAGAGGGTTAGACGGCACTGGGCTGCCCCGTTTAACTGAACAGAGAGGGCCATACACCTTTCCAGGTGTTAGGTTGCTCCATTTGGGCGAGCAAAGGTGGTCAGACACCTATAAAGGTGTTGGGATGCGTCATTTGGACTAGAATAGGGTGTCAAACACCTTTCCAGGTTTTGGGCGGCCTCTTTTGGACAAACAGAGGGGGTTAGGCACCTTTCAAGGTGTTGGGCTGCCTTATTTGGGCGCTTAGGAGGTATTGGACGCCTGGGAGGTGTTGGGCGCCTACGGAGGAGAGCTGGGCGCCTGTGTTGGGTGCTAGGCGCTTGTGCTAGGTGTCTGGGAGGTGTTAGGTGCCTTGGATGAGCTTGAGACTGCCTTGGGAGAGCCTAACTAGAGATGAAAAAAATAATATTATTCCAAACATTAAAATATCTATCATTATTACCTAGAGAGAGAGGTAGACTGCTTGCGTGACAACAGAGGCAGAGTTTGAAGATTGCTCGTGAGAGAGCTGCACCCTTTGAAACTAAGCTTTTGGTGATCCATGAGAAAGTCTTTAAGCTTGAGGTACATGCTGCCTGTTTGAGAATAGTGCAGAGGCCAAGCATTTGGCAACTCGCGAGAGAGCCGCTAAGACCAATCTTAGACCAACCCGCGAGGTTACCTGTTTGAGAAAAGTGCAGAGACCAATCTTTTGACGACCCGTGAAAGAGCCACTAAGCTGGAGATGTAGGCTGCCTATTTGAGAACAGTGCAGAGGTAAAGCTTTTTTGGAGACCCGCGAGAAAGCTGCTCAGCTGAAGATAGGCTACCTGTTTGAGAACAATGCGGAGGCTAAGCTTTTTTGGCGACCCGCGAGAGAGCCGCTAAGTTGAAAATAGGCTGCCTATTTGAGAACAGTGCAGAGGTCAAGTTTTTTTGGAGACCTGTGAGAGAGTCGCTAAGCTGAAGATAAGCTGCCTGTTTGAGAACAGTGCGGAGGCTAAACTTTTTTGGCAACTTGTGAGAGAACCGTTATGTTAGAAATAGATTGTCTGTTTGAGAACAGTGCAGAGGTCAAACTTTTTTGTAGATCAACGAGAGAGCCGCTAAGCTGGAAATAGGCTGCCTATTTGAGAATAGTGTGGAGGCCAAGCTTCTTTGGTGACCCGCAAGAGAGCCGCTAAGTTGGAAATAAACTGCCTGTTTGAGAATAGTGCGGAGACCAAATTTTTTTGGCGATCCACGAGAGAGCCGCTAAGTTGAAAATAGGCTGCCTGTTTGAGAACAGTGCAGAGGCAGGTCAAGCTTTTGGTGATCCACGAGATGATTCACCTCGCCTGAACCTGTTAATTTCTTCAGCATTCATATATTTTTGAGCTTTTGTCAATAGTTCTGACATGTTCTTTGGTGGTCGCTTCATTACTGAGAAGAGGAAGTTTGATGACCGGAGGTCTCCCAAGAAGGCGATCATCGTCACTTTATTGTCAGGCTCATCAACTTGGAGTACCTCCTCATTAAAGAGAGTGAGGTATCTCCTCAGACTCTCATCTCAGTCCTGCTTTATACTAAGTAGGTGGGTGACAGGCTTCTGGTGGCGACGCCCCTCAATAAAATGCGATACGAATGACCTGCTCAGCTCAGCAAAGGAGGCGATGGAGGCTGGGGAGAGCTTAGCGAACCATTGTCGTGCGGAACTCTTCAATGTGGTTGGGAACGTCCTACACATGATTTCGTCTGGGACGTGGTGTAGTTGCATTAGTGTTTTGTAGGTGTCGAGATGGTCTAGTGGATCATTTGTTCCGTTAAAGGTCTCCACAGCTAACATTTTGAACTTTCGAGGGCGGGGGTAGTTCGCCACATCAGGTTTGAAAGTTGTGTTTGTTCGCCTTACCAGGTAGTTCACTGTCTCGGGTCCTTGCGCCTTCATGGCATTGAAAACGTCACTTAGTTGATTTTACATTTCCTTGATTTTCTCATCCCAGTGATTTGGGACTTCTCTGGAATGATCGTGAAAATAACTCCCATGTTCCATGCTTTAGTTCTCACCCTCATCCTCTGGGAGATGAAGGTCTTCACTATGGGAAGAAAGAGAAAGAAGAGGAGGAGATGGTGGAAATCCACCATGATGGGCTCTGTGGGGCGCCCATGGGGACTCCAAAGAGGGCGTCCAGTCTTGCAGGGGCGCCTAGGTGTGGAGCAGCAGGGTGTAGAGCTCTTTGAGGTCCTCCAAGCTGTGCTCCACCAAGTTGTGCTCTTCCATGTCCGGGGAGCATGAGTTGTAATATCTGCTAATTTTGGGCCACCAGTTGCTACATGGTCTCCAACATTTGCTGGAGATTTAGAGTTAGAGCATTCGGGACAGGGTTGGTAGGTGGAGGAACAACATCTTCCTCTCGTGGTGGATTGTCTTCAGGTTTGTTCATGGATCTGGTAATGATTGTCGTTGGTTCAGCAAATAGAATGTTTATAAGTGAGAACTTTGTCGCTTCCCACAGACGGCGCCAAACTGATGGTGCACAAAATGACTTTGCACACCACCTGTTAAGTGATTAAAAATAAATACAGTAATTAAAGTAAAGAGAGATGGAAGAGACAATATTTATAGTGGTTCGATCAACGTGACCTACATCCACTTTTGAATGACCTTGGTCACCTGGTACTTTATTTACTCAAGGGTGTAGGGAGCAGAGAGTGCAAGCTTTGATAGGGAGAGGAAAGAGTCATGCTCTAGTGAGAGTGTGATGCTCATCATGCCCCCCAAGTGTTGGTGAAACTTACAATTTATAGTTGCCCACCTAACAGATTTGAGCAAGGTGTTAGCAACTAGCTAGCTAGTTTGTTGGATCTGGCGAGCTCTTCTCAACGTGCGAGGCAGTTATGTGCTCTCCATGAGATTCGGTCAAAAGATGAGGTAGGGTGTTGACCATCTCCAAGGCGGCGAGGATAAGGTTTTGAATAACCTTGTTTGCTCCCTTAGCTCCTTGAGTTGAGGATAAGGTTTTGACCGAGTTGACCATACTGAGCTGGATTCGTTGGATCTCTTGGAGTTGGGGCCCTTGGTCTTGGCTTATTACAAACTTAAGTGTAAAGTCCCCGTATATATAGTCAAACAAGAAAGGTACAATAAGGGTAAAAAGGTAGAAAAAAGATAAAAAGGGCAAAACTCTAATAAATTAGGCTATAACTCCAACCTTTAAATGTGTATTTTGGGTCATTACAAAAGAGTCCGGTTAAATTCTTTCTTTCATAAGCTTGATGTAGTAGAAAACCAAAAGTTATCAATTTCAAAAGTAGGTGGCCACATGGAGCCTTTTGATGTTCTATGATGAAGATTGGTGGAGTCCCATTGTCTTGTAAAATAATACTTCTTGTTTTGCTTATGGCCAGCTAGAAGAAGTGCTTCTGGTTTTGTTATTTCAGAAGCAAATGAATGATTTGAAATACATTCATTGAAAAACTGTAAGATTCAAAAAAATTGGGTGGCCGTCGTCAATTGTTAATTCTTGGCACCCAACTTTAGTAGGTTGAAAAGAAGCATCAGCTTGCTTCTTACAGGGAAATGGTGAGATCCACTAGTTTATGATAAAATAAGTCTCCCAATCAACACCAACGACAATGGAAGAAACAATGAGTTCACCAAGTCTCCAATATTGAGCAATTTGTATGGAAGCTTAATTGGATGTACTAGTATGAGCAGAAATGAAGTACACAGGAACGGATAATGGAAATTTCATGGTATACCTAGGCAAACCAGTATGGGAGAAACTATTAGTGTGCTAAACGTGACAAAAGTTTTTATCATTTAATTTTACCTAATCTTGAAATATTTTATACTTTTTGATTCTGTTTGTTAATTACTCCAAATAAATAAAAGAAAGCAGTCTACTTTTTGTGACCTTGCACACTCCCCACAAGTTCCCAATTTTATATTCTTAAAAAAATGGTGTGAAGGATGGCTGAACTGTAGTTTCAAAGAGATTTGACGCACAGTAGTTGATGCAAGATCCTGCAGATCGGTTTGTATATTTTATTACAACCCTTATTGTAAGTTTTCTTAATTAAAATTACCTCGAGGGTGGGTTGTGATTTAGCAGTTTTTCATTTATCTATAGACTGGCTTTATTGATACAAAACTGGATTATCCTTTCAGATGATTAATGCATGAAGAAAACTAAGGAAAGCACTCTCTCTCCCTCCTTTTTTCTTGTGATTTTTGGTATCTCTTGTGTTTTATTTTGTTCTGTTTTCTCTTTTCAAAGTCTTCCCTCCTTTCTTAGATTTCATTTGTCCTTGTTTCTTTATTTATCTCTGTGCAATTCTCTGACATCTTTATGCAATTTTCATTTATGTGCATACCAACATTCAAGTGAAATTATAGTTGAAATCTCACAGTTACATATATTTGTTCATATTTCCTTTCCATTGGCAAATATTTTTGGTACTTGGGGTTAATTATCCATAATGAGGAAGGGGGAGATTCGAGGCAATGTTAATTAGAGAATTAAAGTAAGATGGACTATTGTGGAGGAATGCACCTGGTGCAATTTTGTGATTGGAGGATACCACTTAGGTTGAAAGCTAAGTTTTACAAAACATTCATTAGACCCGCAGTGCTTGATGGTACGGATTGTCATGCAATTAAGAAACGACACACCCAAATTAAGTGTTGCAAAAATGGTGATGTGACGATGGATATTGATGGGTTAAGCCCAAATAGTCTAATTTATGTGTTAAAGTCCAACCCCAGTTGAGGAGCCCAACCTCATTTTGATTCCACCAAGCCCAAGACAGTCCAAGACCGGTTAGACTTTTTGCTTAACACGTCACCAAGAGGAAAGCATGAGAAGCTTATCTGCACCACCAAAGGAAACGGTCCAAATCCACCAAGTCCAAGACAGTCCAAGACCGGTTAGACTTTTTGTTTAGCACGTCATCAAGAGGAGAGCACGGGAAGCTTATCTGCACTACCGAAGGAAACGGTCAAATCTTTGACCACGTTTCATGAAGAGCTCTCCAACCTCCTCCTTCCGTTGAGAATAAGTCGTGATCTCCACCAAGAATAATCTTTTAGCTGCGATAAAGAAGCCTTGAGGATATGTCACGATCTCCACAAGAATGATCTCTTGGCTGCTATAAAATAGCTCCAATCTGGTAGAAAAAGGAAGAAATGTCACGCCCCACCAGAGACTGACAGAGGACGAACCGACTACCGGAGATTACTATTTTCTTTGATTCTCCATTCTCTCTCTCAAAGCTTGTATCTCTATTCTCCATACCTTTGAATCAATAAAATACCCGGCAACTGAAGCCATTGAAGAGTGGACGTAGGTCGAATTGACCGAACCACTATAAATTGTGTCTTCTTTAATTTTCTCATTGATTTCATTGCATTTATTATCTACACTTGACAGGTGCTGTGCAAAACTATTTTTGTGCATCATCAGATATAATGAGTGTATTCATGAAAACATAGAGGTAGCACCAATTGGAGATAAATTAAGATCGAATCAACTTAGGTTATTTGGACATGTTTATAGAAAACCTAGTACTGCACTAGTGATATAGAGTAATTTGGTACATACTATGGGTAATGCAAGGTAGAGATAGACTGAAATTAACATTGAATTGAAATAGTAAAACAAGATATCATACCCTACGATTTAATAGAAAATATGATATTTGATAAAAAAAAAAAACAATAGTAAAACAGTGAGTTGAGTTGATTAGTGTCTTTTGCATTGGACATCTATATTTCATGAATTAAGGAACATGTAAAGATGCTTTTAGGTCAAGAAATTTTGTTGACTTCTTATGTGAATGGATTCACAGCTGTAAAAACTGTAAAGCTGTAGTAGAGTTCCTCAACTAGTGCGGGGGTTGGTGCACCAAATTGACGCAAGACCGGATAGAAGATAATTTGTTGATTGATATAGGAAGTGTCTTTGAACAATATTACTGCCTTTTTCGGTTCTAGAGGTTTTTGGAATAATATTGTATCATTTATCTTTTCGGAATAATGGTTTCTAGGTTGTTTTTATTTGGTTTAGGGTCTTATGAAGCTGTAAAGTGGTTTTTTAGTAAAGTTCTCTCTCTCTCTCTCTCTCCATCTCTCTCTATATGATACGTATATTTATTTACGAACATATTTTTGTTGTCTGTATTTATCTCTATCATCCTCCCCCCGCACAAAACAACAAACACTGTATTGTTTTACATTATACTGTATTGCCATGTGGAATGCAGTGATCTGTCAACCAACCATTTGACAGGACCAACTCCAGTCAATGGCTCCTTTCAACTTTTCACTTCTATAAGGTTTGTTTCAAGTTATATATTTTTTCCATGGTAGAATTGGGCTACCCATCATGATTTTATGCTGACTTTCAAGTTCCCATCTTATAGTTTTTCTAATACTTGGAAGCCCCAGTTTCGCCACCACCTTCCGTTTCTCCACCACGATCATCTTCTTCTTCAGGTTTGTTTAAAATCCTTTTACGATTTTTCTGGACAGTAAATGAACTTCATTAGGGTGAATAATTGGTTACAGCTTGATGTACGGAAGTATACAATTCACACCTCCACGTAGTACAGGGTTCTCCTGTAATCAACATAGAGAAAAACAAGTATATAAGAGGCGCTCTAATGGGAGTACCCTTTACCGCTCTGTTAGTCACAATCATGTGGTTAAGAATGCTGTAAACTATCTTCTAAATTGTACAGTTTCCCTATTACTGTTGCATCATGTCCTTGATCAAATGAGAACATCTTCACGTAAGCTCCTGGCTTGCACCAGCTGCTGATTCTGGTTTGAGGATTTGAATTTCAAAGAGACTAGGCTGTCTCTGATAAGCCTGCCTCTCTCCTCCCCTACTATTTTCAGTATGCCCAACTTGTAGAAATTACTAGGTTGCACTATGTTTCTCCAGCTTTTTTAACTCCTCCTATTTCTTTAACTCCAAAGTTTTGCTGTGCATAGCATGATACAGTTTGTTGTGGATGACTTGGCTCACTTTTTATTCATCAGTTCTTATAACATTTTATCATTTAAATTTCTTAGTGAACTTAGCCAGTCTGTGTTTTTAAAAGCAACTGCAACAAGAGAGCCATAGAACAAAATTGCTTTTGCATCTGAGTCCTTGGTCAGCATTGGTTGATTTTTTGCTTTTATCATTTGTCTACCATGCATGATCAATAACATTTTTATTTCTAAAAAATAATATGACCTCCATTTTGAACAGTTTGTTCTGAGAATGAAAGAGATCATAGTTTGATTGAATAAATTTCGACTTCAGTGCTGGTTAATTATGGACTGTAGTGCTGGTTTACAATCACAATCTGGTTTTTATTCTGACTAGACAAGGATTTTATACTGTTGAAATCACTGCTGCGTCATAGTCATTTGGGGTTGCTTCCAGAGAAAAAATTCATTGATAATTGGAAAACAAAAGTAATCAACTTACTGTAAATATTTTTTGATAATTGGAATGCAAAAACTAATCAACGTGTTGGTTATTCTCAACTTTTATTCTAGTGGGCAATAGTGCCACTAGGGCTATTGCTGGAGGAGTTGCTGCTGGTTCTGCTCTGCTGTTTGCTGCCCCTGCAATGGCTCTTGCTTTGTGGCGACGAAGGAAACCTGAGGATCATTTCTTCGATGTTCCTGGTTAGTGATTCTATTTGGAGGTAGCCTTAAATTGTGTTCTGTGTAATGCATGCTCACTCATTTACTTCTCTTTACAGCTGAAGAGGATCCGGAAGTTCATCTAGGACAGCTCAAGAGGTTCTCTTTGCGTGAACTACAAGTTGCATCAGATAATTTTAGCAACAAAAATATTATTGGTAGAGGTGGATTTGGTAAGGTCTACAAAGGTCGCTTGGCTGATGGTTCTCTGGTGGCTATAAAAAGACAAAAAGAGGGGCGTACTCAAGGTGGGGAGTTGGAGTTCCAAACAGAAGTAGAAATGGCCAGCATGGCTTTGCATCGAAATCTACTTCGTTTACGTGGTTTTTGCATGACACCGACAGAACGGGTGCTTGTTTATCCGTTCATGGTTAATGGAAGTGTTGCATCATGTTTAAGAGGTAAAAGGTTGCTGGCCTCTTGACCTGTTTTATCTTATTAATTTTTTAATTATTCAGGTTGGCCGGTATCTGAAAGTCTAAAACTCTGATTGGCAAAAAATTAGGAAAAATGTTGAAAAGTTTGAAACCCAAAATTTAGGACCTGTCCCAAACTGTGCTTAACACCTAAAATGGCATTCTCACGAGCTAATTGACAATTTTTGCAGAGCGAGGTGAATCACAGCCACCACTTGTTTGGCCAATAAGGAAGCGAATTGCACTGGTAGCTGCAAGGGGCCTTGCTTATTTGCATGATCATTGTGACCCGAAGATAATTCACGGTGATGTCAAAGCTGCAAACATATTGTTAGATGAGGAGTTTGAAGCAGTTGTTGGAGACTTTGGGTTGGCCAAACTCGTGGACTACAACGATACTCATGTCACCACTGCTGTACGTAACACAATTGGGCATATAGCTCCTGAGTACCTCTCCACCGGAGAGTATTCAGAGAAAACTGATGTTTTTGGATATGGGTTTACGCTTCTTGAACTCATCAGTGGGCAGAGGGCTTTCGACCTTGCTCGACTTGCCAATGATGATGATGTCATGTTGCTTGATTGGGTAAGCATTTCTCATCCTCCCATATGTTTGTTATCTTTAGCATATTAGTTGACTCTTTTTATGTTTCAATATTGAGTTGGCTCTCCTGTGAACTTGATTGAATATCGCTAATGGAAAGCAGGTGAATATAGGAGAACTTTTCAACAAAAAAAAAATTATTGTTCATGAATCAAAATAAGTCCTTTTTCTGGATGTTTACGTGTGGAATGTCGCCCTGCCCTATCACACAAACAAAAGTTACAATCGTTTGTATCCAAAGACATTGTTCACTGCAATGATAATTGCGAGATGGCTTTTCTAACCCGAAGATCCATTGCTTCATGTGGACCTCTATCGATCTCTATGGATACTTTAATTGTTGTTAAAATTTCAGGTAACGGGACTTCTGAAGAAAAAGAAGTTGGTAACATTGGTTGACGCCGATCTTCAAGGTAATTATGTTGATGAAGAGGTGGAGGAGCTAATACAGGTAGCTTTGCTCTGCACACAGACTTCCCCAATGCAACGCCCCAAGATGTCAGACGTGGTTAGGATGCTTGAAGGTGATGGCTTGGCGGAGAGGTGGGAAGAGTGGGAGAAGGAGGAGGTGTTCCGGGAAGAGGTTAACCACACCCACCACCCAAATACTGATTGGATCATTGCCGATTCAACTTCCAATCTCAGCCCTGATGAATTGTCCGGTCCAAGATGATCCTTCAATGGCTCTCTTGTTGGCACATATATAGAAATCTCTTGGAAGCCCATTTCATATTTGGAATTGAATTTTACCATCTTTGTGCATATGATTTTCTTCTCTCTCTGTTTCTCTCATCATTTTTCCCTTGTCAAGTTCATACCAGTTGTCCGAATTTTGACGGAACTGAATGTCCATGGGTTGCAGGTTGCATTAAGAATTTTCAAGTGCACAAGCAGAAATGGCTGTGGAAGCAGCAATGTATTTTAGAGATTCAATAGGAAGTGATAAAATTAGGTCTTGACCAGTAAAATTAATCTATTTTAATTTACGGTATTATAAGAATCGGACCAAACATTAAATCTATAGAAGAATCGAGTCAATGGTTCATTAGTTCAATTGATAGATTAATTGGTTGAATCGGTTGTATAATTAAAAAAATATAAAAAATATATAAATATAATAATTTAGGTAAAAAAAAAATATAAAACATGTCCCAATGCATATAATTTACCATAAACTTAACAAAATTAAGTACTTGTTCAAAAAAAAAAATAAGTACAGAAATCTTGGATTTACTTTGATTAACTACAACAATCACAAAGACCAAAACTTGGGCTGGACAGAACTTACAGAAAGTGGTTTAAGCAGTTGTGTGTGTGTGTGTGTGTGAGAGAGAGAGAGAGAGTTGCATAGCACTTAGGAGGAGAACCAAGATTTGCACGTGGACCAGAGAGAGATTGGAGAAGAAGGAGAAAGAGTTACTCCAAGCTAAGGTTTGCTGATGGACGAGACTAGTCACCACACGGTAGCGTGAAAAGGAGGAGCAGAGAGAGATCGACTGGACCAAACCTGTCAGCAGGTGTGCAGATCCACAACATTTTCTTCGTCTTTGCGCCTGGAGAAGAAGGCCTAAGAAGTGGAGAGGCGACGACGATCAAATGGATTTTGGGCAAAAAAATGGGAAATTGAATTTCAACTATCCAACTTTCAAAACTTGTCCGGTTTACGGTTTTGGTAAAAAACTGCCTTTCGGAACTCAGTCGATTTACAACTTTTGTAAAATCCAGCCGATTTAGTAGTTTTGACGCGGTTTCCTTCCTTATATGGTCTAAGTAACAAAACGAATCGAAACGTTTTGGATTTCGATTCAAAGTTAAACTGGTCCGATCTTATTGATTTGAAATTAAGAGTTACAGTTACGAAAAACATGGCTCAGGCCTATCAAGTGGGATATTAAAATTAAATTTTTTTTGATAAATGTTAAAATAATATATTTTTTCAACGGGGTTTTTTTTTATTTTTAATTTGGTAAAATTTTTTGATTACTTGAGCAATCCAATGTCAAATTTTTTCAACGGTATTCTAGGTATGTGATTATGAGCACCATCTTAAACAAAACAACATACGAAATGCATCACTTCAAATTACATTTTACCATGAAATCCATTCAATTAAGCATTCAGTTGACCAATTAGAAGCTTTTACAACTATCCCAAACAGTAGGCAAATCTATAGAAAAACACTTAAGAAAGATAGGCATTTTGAATCAACTTCCAAAATTATCAGTTTGTGATCCTTGGCTTTAAGTTTCAGTCTCCTGATGCATTCCATGAGTTCTGGTGGAAATAGTGGGATGCAAAAGTTCCATATGCATGCTCCGTCAAATTGGTTGATGATGAACCTGCCAAAAAATGTTATTGATGCAAAGAAAAATTGTAAGAGATGGAACTAATGCGTACTTCAAAATTGTTACCTTGATAAAATGTTGGATACAAGTTAAATTCATGTCCCAACATATTTGAATGAAATTGACGAGTTTAAATTTAAATCAGGCCTAGGCTCAATTCATGGGTTGAACTCAAATCATCAAAAGACAGATCAAACTTGGTTTATGGTCTCAATTCAATTCAAAGCGCAAAAGTCTAGCAAGAGTCAAAGCATGTGGGACAGCAATCATCCCAATAGCTATTACTCTAAAATAGTGTTCATCTTCAATTGTAGTTATCTTTTCCAATAAATTAGTAGTTTGACCTTCACGACACCTCCTCAGCTGAGACTCTATGCCTATAAATTATAAATCTCTTACACATAGACAGAGTTATATCTCACATAGAGATCACAGGCATCTCATTAAGCGTAATCTTGTTCTCCCTCTCACCACATCTTGAGCTTGTTCCTGCTCTTTTTCACCACACCTTGATCATGTTCCTGCTCTCTTTCATCTATTACTTTATTCTCTCATTAATAAAGTTCTTCGATCACCGTCACCACTTTCGGTGGTTAGGTCACACAAACCTAACCGTTCAATCTTTGTCTCTTATTATTAATTGTTTCATTAATTACTTGCATTATACACTCGATTGGTTGATAGTGTGACAACCCTTATTAAAATTAATCACCAACATGTTATTTAAGTCGTTAATTATAATTTTATATAATCAATGATCATTTTTAGAAATTTCAAATGAACAAATGAACCTTAAATATAAATTTTTTACGTGAAAACGAGTTGAATGATTATAATATATATCATATTTCATATTAAAATAAAAATATTATAGTATCCAAATGGTTGGATAATATATGTGTTATATATGAGATACATATATAGTATATACACTATACAAGTGTCAAATGGCGTGGTGTTCAAGTGACAAGTGTTTTTTGTATATATACAAAAAAATAATAACCACATAAATTGGACAAGTGTCCACTTACTTCACCATGCTAATGTAAGTCAACTTACGTAATGGCCTTGTAGGCCAAATAAAGCCTTCATGTGTTGGCTATAAATAGCTGCCTCTACCAGTGAGCAAACCATGGGAATAACAAAGGAAGAAAGAGAGAGACAGAGAGGACGAAATAAAAAAACTTATGAGATTTTACGGTTAAAAATTGAGAAATAATTTTATTTTAGTTCGCTATCAAATTTGAGTATTTTGTCAATGGTACTTTGAATTTCACATCTATTAGGTTCATTGATTATTTTAAGGTACAAGGTAATATACAATATGCTCATGTCTTTTACATTTCTTTGCGAAGAGTGTTATTTGATTATTTGAAATTTGTATTCCTATTGATTATTCTGATTAATACGAAATTCTGTCAATTTTATAGGTTGACCTATATTTTGGGCTAAATACTTTGAAATTGATTAGTACATGTACAAAGTGGGCTTGGGGCATAATTGGTAAAATGAGATTATGGCTCTGCGGGGTGCAATTGTGATTACAGCTCTGCAGCATGTAATTGGTTAGTATGTGTTGGAGTATAGATAGTCTAGGTTTATTAGGATTTCTTTTCCTAGGTTTATTAGGATTTCTTTTCCTAGGTTTATTAGGATTTCTTTTCCCTTTTTTACCCTTACTATGATTTTTATATTTTGCCTATATATACGGGGTTTTACTCTTAATTTGAGTATCTCCTTTTACTCACAATTATTCCAAGTTGGTATCAGAGCCATACACTAACCCTACCCCAAACCCTAACCTTCTCCCCAACCTTAGCCTCCACCTACTGCCCATACCAGGCCACACCGACAGCCCCAAAATCCATACACCGACGGCCCAGGCAACAAACAGTCTTCCACCGACTGCCCATCCTCTTTTCTGTTGATCTGCCCTTGATGCAGTAGATCACTTATTTATATATTTTGGATTTCTGGGCACCATGACTTGATTATTTGGGAGCTTTTTGGACCTTCCCTATTTGTCGCTACTGTTCGACTGAAGGTATATTGTTCTCCCTTATTTTATTCCTCTATTTATCTTAGAGTTATTTTTCTATCACGGGTGCCCTAGTATTGTTGTTGATATGGCTACTACTGAGGGACTTGAGAACCCTACTGTTGACACCTCTACCGTTGAGACATCTATGGGTACTTCCACTTTTATGTTTGACCAGTATACAGTGCCTACTAGCACAGTTGCATTACTAGCATTACCGGGCATGATCTCTCAAAAAGTTACTGCACAATTGTTGAATGGTCGTAACTTCGCTGAGTGGTCACGCTCATTCCAGCTTTTCTTAGGCCGTGTAGGGAAGCTTGGTTGGCTGACGGGATCTCACCCAAAGCCAGCTGATGCCGACCCTGGATATTTTGCATGGTTCTCTGAAAACTGTGCCATTCTTGGATGATTATTTGGCTCAATGGAGCCATCTGTTTGCAAGATCCACCAGTTTCATAGCTCTGTTCCGAAGCTATGGAGCGCATTATTAGAGATGTATTCTCAGTCAGGACGGGGAGTTCGTGTTTATGAGCTTTCTCAGGAGCTCTCATATGCTCGACAGGGAGATATGACCGTTCAGGATTATTATGACTATTTGACCCAGCGCTGGCTTGAGTATGAGTCTCTACGTCCTCTTGCTGCTATTCCGAAGATAGAGCCCGAGGGAGCAGCATTCTTGCATACTCGAGAGCAGGAGGATAGGATTCACAAGTTCCTTATGGGGCTTCGTGATGAGTTTGAGGGACCTCGTTCTCAGATCTTGTCGATGTTGACACTTCCTTCTCTTTATGAGGTGTATGGGATGATTGAGCAGCATGAGCGTCGAGTCCGTATTGCATCACTTCCAGTTGCAGCTTTGCCTCCTTCGATTGACCAGATGGCCCTTGCAGCTGCTGTAGGGTCTCGTTCAGGATCCTTAGTCAGGGATAGGCAACGCTCAGACCAGCGTCGTCAGGGCGCCCCAGATCAGCGCAGACGGGGGGATTCCCGTCAATGTGATTATTGTGGCCGACCAGGACATCTCAGGGCTACTTGCTGGAAGCTCCATCCAGAGCTTAAGCCACCTTCTCGCAGCCGTACTGTTGCTATTGCTGAGGTACCACCGCCCACTGCCGCCACTCCTGCTACTGCTCCTCCTTGGCAAAGTGATATGGATGCTATCACTTCCCGATTAGATATACTTATGTCTGCTCTGACTTCTCAGAGTCTGACTACTGCTGCTGTCACCACTACAGGTATATCTCGTGCCTTTCACGCTTGTGCTAGTTCATCTCCCCTTTGGATGTT